ATCCCAGTTGAACTACTCTGCTATGTACCCGGTTTGAGGAAAGTGGGGTGCAGGGGGGGTGCTCTGTGCCAACCCCACGTCACCTTCAGCTTTGCTGTTTCCCGTGCGTACAAAAGTGACATGAGCTCTTGGTCCAAACATCCAAACATTACAGAAAAATGTCCAACAGACAGGGAAACTCCCTGCTAACTTCAACCACCCTGGACTCTCTCCGGTTCGACCCTGTCCCATGGTCGTCCGAGCTGACTGGATGGCAGGGAGTTTGGGTTGAGTTTATTATCCCTCGAGCAATTAATATTCCTTAATGAAAACGGTATCGTACAACGCACACTTATTGGCAAAATATTTTTTAAACTGCCTCATGGAACTTGGACATCTTCCCGCAGCAGCGCATATGGACTGAGCCCACTTTGGATCAATCTGCAGCAAGGTTTCTGGCTAGCCACTGGGATGCTGGGAAAAGTTCATTGATGGGGTGGCGGTAGGGGGAACCCAAGCCTCTGAAGGGTGGTCCAGGCGCTGGTACTGGTGGGCGTTGTCTTCTTGGCCAAGTGCCCTGCCCTCTCTGGGCCTCCCTGGTCACTTGCAGGGTTCAAGATGGCCCAGGCCCCTGCTAGCTCGGAGCTCTAGGTGCTCAGCCAGGTCAGCGGTGCTCTCTCCGCTCCTGCTCCCATGCTGTGGCCGTGTGCTCAAGCAGGCTGCGCCTGGGGGCAGGGGGGCTGGCCATCTGTGGTGGCAGTTTTGCCCGTCAGGCTGTCACTGCCTACTCACCGCTCTGCACCCCCCCGCCCACTACCAACCGGTCTGTCTGCTGTCCAGCTCACGCAGGCTGCACCAGTGGGCAGTCCAGCTGCTGAAACACCTGGCACCTCCAGGCTGGCTTCAGTGTTTCCACTGGCCACCTCAGCCAGGCCTGGAGCATGCTTCCAGGACGTCCAGTGTGGGCAAGGGCAGGGGGCTTAGGGCAGACCAGGGTGCGGGGAGAGGGCTGGGAAAAGGAACCAGGGACTTAGGGAGGCTCTGCTGCCCACGCACTCAGGCCAGACACCCACCCAAGCCCCATACATTCTGCTCCCGGCTACAAGGAGTCCCCAAGTGGGGAGACAGTGTTCTTTGTTCTTAATGGAGACACAGCAGATTCTGCAAATCATGTTTCCTGGATGACTTTGGGTGCCCCTGTGTAGGCCCATCAAACCGCTCCTGGAATGGGCTTTTCCCTCCTGCCTGCAACCACACTGTTCTTGTCTGTCTCTCTGTCTGTCTGTCCGTCTGTCTGCCCTGGGTGGGTACATTTGGTTCTGAGCTCCTGGGGTGAGCCTTGCCTTCGGAAGCCATACAGGTCAGCTCAGGCTGAAAAGAGAGGACTGTGTGCGAGCGGGTCTTTGTCAGAGAGAGGATGGCGCATCTGGTGCAGCAGGGCTGATAGGCCAGGGATTGACTGGCCCAGGGTCAGAGGCCCTGGCGATTCCTGCAGGGATTGTTCTAGACCTGAGGTAGTTGTCTTCGTGACTCCATTCTAGGACAGCTGCTGCCCTGTGGTGGAGGCTGGGTCTCTAAGGAGGACCCTGGTGCCCAGCCCACTAGCACAGCTCACCTGGGTCTCAGAGAAGCCCTCTCCTCCCTCTGTCGCCAGCCAGCCTCATCCCAGGTGTGCACCAGCAGCCTCAGTAAGTGGGAAACAATAGGGAGCAGGTTTTAGATTGCCAGGAGGCCGTAGTGGCATTTAGTGGTTCAATTTTCTCCTGCTGTAGGGGAGGCCGAGGTTCGAATCTGGACTGATGTACCTCATGTGCAGCCACTAGCCAGTCCTCAGTGGAGATGAACAGGCTGCTCTGATGTTCAATGGGGGCTAGTGGAGCCTCCAGATGAGGGTGGAGTAGGAAGCAAGGCTTGGGGAGCTATTCCTGAAAGTGAGCCAGTGAAGACTCTGTGGACCAGAGCGGCCTCTGGGCCGGGGCAGCATCAGACAGCACCGTGCTCCAGGGGACACAGGGTCCCCACAAGCCCAGGGCCACCTCCCCGCCCAGGCTGTCACGTCACTGGCAGCAGCTGCACACCGAGAACAGTGCTGATGGCTCTTGCCCACTGTCCTTTGGGCGGAGCGCTTAGCTTTGGATGTGAAGAGACCTTTGCCAGCGTTTTGTCTGCTCATCTGCCTGAGGCTCTGCGTTAAGCCTGAAAGAGACTTTTGGGGGGTGGTTGCTACTGGAGATACCAGCCTCCCAGGTTGCTCTGTCTCTGGTGGCAGGTGGGGGTCCGTAGGTAAGCGCCCCTCACTCACTCCCTGCCATCAAGCCGATGCCTTTTCTTAGTGACCCTATAGGTCACCACGGCCCTATAGGATAGGACAAGGGAGAACTGCCCCTGGGGGTTTCTGAGACTGGAGCTCCTTATGGAGATAGAAAGCCCTGTCGTTCTCCTTCGGAGCAGCTAGAGGTTTCGAACTGCTGACCTTTGGTTAACAGCCCAACACGTAACCACTCCGCCACCAGGGCTCCTCGTGAGCTGCAAGAGTTTGGCAGTCGCAGAAATGACAAGGAGCATTGTCAAGTGCCTCTAACGCACTAACCACCTTACCTAAATTAATGGTGACAGGGGTAACTGTCGTTAGTCTCATTCTCATTCAGTGGAGGCTGCTCTGAAAGATTATCCATAAAAAGGACACAAAACACACTCAAATTCACTGCCGTCAAGCCTGTTGATCGTGACTCATCACCACACTAATGGGCAGAGCAGACCTGCTTCTAGGGTTTCTGAGACTTGGTCCTGACGCAAGCAGACCGCCACAGCTCTCTCCAGCGGAGTAGGGATGGTGGCTTTGAACCACTGACCTTGCAGTTAGCAGTTCAGTGCTTATTTCACTGTGCTGGGAGGGCTCAGCATGATTAGGAACTCGTTTAAAGTGACACTAAGCAAGGGGGGAAGGAACCTGGCTGTCTGGGTCCAGCATCCCAGTTGAACTACTCTGCTATGTACCCGGTTCACCAAAAGCGTGTCCTCTAAGGTGGACGAAGTAGAGGGCAGCTAGGCCTCGCCTTCCCGGTGCCTGCCAGAGTGTGACGTCAGTGCAGTTGCCCATCTCGCCCAGCTCTCCTCCCTGGGTAACCAATGCTGCCCATGAGCTGGAACACCTGCTCTCCAAGTGGGGTCCACAGACTCCCAGACAGGACAGAGAAGGACCGGCCAGAGGCTGCCAGGTGGCTAATCAATTGGACCATTTGCTTGCAAACATGTGGTGTCCCCTTCCCCTGAGAGGGTCTCTCAGAGTGCACTGTGATGGCCACCTAACCCTGTCCAGACCATCTGCTCGTCCCATGGTAGCCCCAGCAGATCAATAACAATGAAGTCCAATGGCTCTCCAAACAGCCACAGAGTGGCCTTGGGGCCCAGCCTCAGGGGCAAGGTGGAAGGGAAAGGACACTTCTCCTGGGACCCAGGGCTTTGACAGCAGGGAGACCTCTTTCCTCACCAGGCCCAGCCTCCCGTCTCTTGAGCTGGCTTCCCCTCCATCAGCATCTGAAACTCCGGTTTTAGACTCCAGACCCTTCTCTGGTGCTCCCAGGAGCTGCGTATTTATAGAGCAGCGTCTCTGCTCAGAATGGCGGGGGGTGGAAAACCATAGGACGTGGACTGTCTTCAAAGTGCCTGTCGTCTCTCTGGATGCAGCCTGACAGCGGGAAAGGGGCTGTCGGTCTGCCGCTCCGGGTAAGAGGAGCGCAGCAGACCGAGCAGCACTCTGTGCGGTCAGGCCAGCTGGACACGCAGGCCTGTTACTTCTAGGCCATGCGGTGAAGCATCACTTAACTCCTTAGGGCCCTGGGAGCACTGGGATGACCACACACATTTCACAGAGCTGACGTGACTGCTGGGTTGCCCAGGAAGGCTCAGTACAGTGCTGAGCACATAGTAGGTGCTCAATAAATGGTATGGCAGCCCTTTGGCCTTTTGGGGATTCAGCTGCCTCACCAGTAAGATGAGGGTGAGGTCTACATGATCCCAATTCTACCTTACAAATCCGGCTAGATCAGAGGATGTACACTGGTACAGATAGGAACTGGAAACACAGGGAATCCAGGACAGATAAACACCCCAGGACCAGTGGTGAGAGTGGTGATACTGGGAGAGTGGAGGGAAGGTTGGATCCGATTACAAGGACCTACATAAAACCTCCTCTCTGGAGGACGGACAACAGAAAAGGGGGTGAAGGGAGACATCGGACAGTGTAAGACGTGACAAAATAATAATTCATAAATTATCAAGGGTTCACAAGGGAGAGAGTGGCGGGGAGGGAGGGGGGAAATGAGGAGCTAATACCAAGGGTTCAAGTAGAAAGCAAATGTTGAGAATGATGATGGCAACAAATGTACAAATGTGCTTGACACAATGGATGTATGTATGGA